ATTATAATCACGACGCGTCATTATCGGAGCTGCTCTTGTCTTGGCCGTGTTGGCACATCGAGGTAGCCCACGCGAACGAGAACTTTGCGAAATAACTTGCAATGAAGGCGAATTGAAGGGAACGCGGATCAAGGAAGGATACAAGTTCGCGGACTCATGACGCCTAAAGGTGATATCCTTTTCCAGGACCCACGAGGACACACGTCAGCATACGAATGAGATTTTGCAGCTAGAAACGAGTCTATTTCGAAGAGCCGGTTCTCAACGGCGCGCATGCGTAGGGAAGAATATATTTTTAAAACGGGTTTTTCATTTGGCTCCGTGTCGTTTTATCGTTCTCGAGTCAGTTGGTACAGAAAAAGAAAGAGAAAAAGAGAAAGAAAAAGGAAGAGAGATAGGTTAGACGTTTCATCGCGCGTTTCTCGTTAAGAAAGACGAGCCATTATTAATACTATTATTATTGGACCAAAATATACCCCGAGGAACGCATGGACGAGGAACGCTCGTTGGTACTCTCTTTTTTTCTGTCAACCTACGTCTCGCGATTCTCTTTACGATTCGAGAAGGCGAACTGCACTGCGTCATCATCTTCGTCGCCGTTCTCGTGACTGGCGCTGCCGGGATTCCCAGCTGTTGCCGGGAGAAGAGGTTGCCGTACCGACGTCTCGGCGCGACAAAGAAACCGCGGAATTGCTCGGAATAAAGGAATGATCGGCCGTGCACGCGTATGCAGTGAATTCTACACGCCTATAGAACGACCTTGACATTTCTCTCGCGAATCACGGACATGTGTCATGCCGAACTGTAAGATAATTTTAGCTGAATATTCGATCCGAATATTCGATTTCCGATGGGAAGCCGAAACAGTCGCCAAGAAACCGACGAGAAGGTATTCGGGGAGGAACGATTGCGTGAGCGGTCATTCTCCGCGGCAACCTGACTGAAAATTTATCCCATGGTCCTAATCAGTTATCCATTGTACCCCGATCAGTTATCTGGTTCGCATAAAACGATGATATCGAGTCTTGATAAGTCACATAATGTGGCGTGACATTCATTAAATTCTTTGGAATGGAATCTCAACGAGTGAAAAGTGGCGGTACTTAAGATACGTGAGAATACTGTCATTCGAAACCACAAGAGTGAATGTTTCATCCTTGGACCTTAAGTTTGAAATAGATTACTGACTCCATACGAGTCCATTAGAATGAATATGTTCCTGTGATAGTGAAATACATCAGAGAGATTCCACTTTTCAATGTTCAATTCGAGTAAAGATTTACTCGACGATTCAGAGTGAAGTATTAATTCTGTGTGAATAAGAAATCACTCGGATTCGAATGGTTCGACGCGCACTTCATTTTGAAAATGAAATTCCACTCTGAGAAATTCAGAAAGCAATCAGGATCTGATTAATAATAAGGACTGTTGATAATTAGGACCGGACAACATCGCCTTGTACAACTCACAAGGAAACAGACAACCCGAAAATACAGAAAATTCTAAAACATTGTGTGCAAGTAGAGTTCATCTGTAACAAACTATTTTTTGTTTCTGCTAAATTATGATTTTAAGAGGTAAAATTACCTCTCGAAAAAACATGACATTTTGATTTTTAAAGAATATTTTCTAAAATATAAGACATGAAAAAATAGTTTATGTAAAAATTGTAGAATATTTTATACTCTTTGCAACGGTGTACTCAGATTTTGTAAAAGTGAAAAATTTTTTAACTCCCTTCCTGCCACTCATTATCTTTATCAATTTTTAAGTTCTTGTTAGTACAAAAATAAAAAGCATCGTATACTAAATCCATCCATATGTAATACTAAAAAATTGTCGCGATTAAATTTTGAAGAAATCGAGATTATAACATAGAGTTATAGGTGACGCGCTATAGATAAGCATTTTTAGGTTAATCTAAATTCGATATCTTGTACATGTTCTCTTACATCTTAGATAATACGAACTTAATTCTAATGACGCCATATGCAATATATTACATGAGATATGAACGTGAACAAAGATTAATTTGCTTATATAACATTTAATAGTAACATTTGTGTATGCTTTACTTCTTCACTTTATATTTGAATCGCTCTCGAAACAAAATTTACCTGTGAAACTCTGCCGATTTATTCCATATATATTCATTTTTAAACCATGTATATTTAAATAAATTTTGAAACCTGGGTAGCGAGAAGTGTGTGTGTAATGATGATGCATTAATGACTGCAATTTCAACATATCATTTCTATAAAGATTACTTCAAGAGTAACACATAAGCAAGATCTAACACATAACAGTTTCTGAAAATCTTAATAAAATTTTTTCATAATCTGAAACCGTGCATGTGTATACGTCTAATGATATCTCTATATCTCTTTCCAAGGCGATACGAAAATCCAAAGTCGTCAGCATAAACTTTTGTGATTGTTGACACAAAAGGTCTAACATTGATAGATCTTGCTGTTTGCATCTTGGATAATGATAAGCCTGTCAAAATTGTCTAATAAAATAAACTTCAAGCAATGTACATATGTTGTTGTTATTATGATTCATATACTATTGATTATATGATATGATTATATGATATGATCATTGATAGTTATTGATAGTTTTAATTATTTTTATATTTGTATAGTTATTTTCATATAGTTGTAAGTACATACTGATTTGTTTAAATAATTGAAAGTCTAAAATTTATGTTAATAATAATTTAGAATGTCGCATTTTATGAAACCATTTTACTAATTAAAACTGCTAAGACGGAATTAAAAAATGCGTCAAGTCCTTTTTAATAGAACACGCATGAATTGATTATAATACATGAGAAGAGGTTATGGAATGGTAAATATTTTATCATTATAATTAGGGAAAAATTCTTTTTTGTTGTGGGGAGTCTGGATGCAATAAGATAAAAGGAACGGGGATATCCGTTTCCGAAATTACTTCTGAAATTACCCAATAAACAAAGTTATACTAATGTTATATAAATGCAAGTACCGAATGTTACAATATTGCATGAACAAAAAATAGTTTTATGTTACGGATGAATTATTCTACTTGCGCACAATCCCCAGTAGAAATCTATGTAGTTTTACTAGACATCTAATCAGTTACTGTCTAGTATTACTGTATTTCATAGTTGTATCAAAACTGCACAAAAACTGGAAAGGAACTGAACATAGTTTTATTAAGTTTTATATCACATATATATATATGCATGATAAAAATTATATTGTATAGAAACGATCTTAAAACTATGTAAAGAATAAGTAAACGCGTAGCAAAACATAGAACAAGGAAGAGGAAGTTAGAGGAAATCTGGAATTTAACAAAACAACACGTTATGGCAGAAGTGACAAGTAAGGTTAGAGTTGAAAGTGAGCAAACGACAAATGGGCTACATATTAATGATATAGAATTGCATTGCTACAAAAACACGTTAGATTATCTTAGAAAGCACCTTAGATTTCCTATACAATTGTAGACATAAAGGTTGTCCGACTTTTTGTTGACAATGTAACCTAAAAATTATCCAATGAGAGAATAGTGCTAAGAAGTGTCTAAGAAATACGTTTCTTATATTGGACTATTCGGTTATATTCTGAAATTTATTACAAAAAATCAGACATTCTTTATGTCTACGACTGTACTGACTTTTACTAAACATTAAAATTGTACAATAAGCAAGCATGCACACAATATCCATTATTACTAGCATAAAACTGTCCATTTTATGAGCAATAAACTTGCTTATTAATCAACTGAATAGTTTCCTTGTCCAATTATTGCTCAGTTCTCAGTCAATAAATGAGATATTACGCATTTTTTGTGCACAGTAACTGTAGACAAAGCGTTACATCTTAATTGGGATCCCAACAGTTTTATTCGTCAGTTACTGGGCAAACGTTAATATAACTATTCAGTAACTGCTTACAAACTGCGTGAAATTTCTACCAGGGATGTTTCGGAATTTTCTGAATATTTCAGGTTGCCTATGTTCCCTTGTCAAATAACTAATCTACCTGATCAAAACTATGGAATAAATCTTTAGTCGAAAAGCTTGAATGTCGGATTTTGAATGCTTTGTATACGAAGATATCAGAGTCAACATTTTGATCCTACTTTCAACTTCAATAATCCATTTAATAATTATTTAGATGCTCTTAAGTCTATATCAATTTCTTCCGATTCTATTTAGCCTACTAGCTTTGTTAAGAGATCTTCTGTAGAGTCTACAGTGGCATTTTGTGTTTTCTGCCATTTAGAGACGCTAAGTGGAATTTCAATTTTCATGTGTATTACACGTATACTGATCCTTCAGAATATGCAGAAGATTAGAAAGTTCAGGCATAAAGTAGTAAAGTTTGAATTGGAATAATGGACAAACTCTCTTTGGGTAATCCCATTAATTTTATACCCCGCGCCAAGTTCATTATTTCAGCGCTCGTTAAGTCGATGTAAATCGTGCATGAGAATCTTTCTGGATGCGCGACGTTTCAACATATCATTTCTAGAATGAAGATTACTTGCAAGATCTAACACATAACAGTTTCAGAAAATTTTAATAAAATTTTTTCATAATCTGAAAATCCGTGAATGTGTGTGTGTGTGTGTATGTGTATACGTCTAATTATATCTCTAATCCGCGAAACCGATTATACTCACATGTCTGCGCTATCTAATGTTGTTGTCACTTCATGATATATACTCGCGAGATCAGATCGCCAGAAACAACATGAATTTAAGCCCGACCACGCTTACGACGAGGATCACACGCGGCGCCTTCGCGAAGAAAGTGTTTTTCATCTCTGGTTGTGGTAATTAGTCTTGCAAACAACGGGTGTTCAACATATGGCGTCGTGTCGGGCGAAGTAACACGAAGATCATTTACTCAAATTACGCGAGAAGACTTCGCAAATTCTCTCTCTGTTCGACTTTCTCTCCTTCCACTTGGATAATTCTCGGCGTTCCGAGAGTGCATCGTGACTTACCCCGGTGAACGAATTGTGATTCGGCAAGCGTGCCATCGCAGCTGGATGCTCAGGTGTTCGTGGCGAACTTGGAGGTAACGACGGAGCCGACGCGAGACGCAAACGCGAGACGCAAACGCGAACGACACACGATGAAGAGCGTCCGTTACCGACTTAGAGCCGATGTCACCTCTCATTTAATTGCAACACACGAGAACCGCGCTCTGCCACCTATTGTAATATAACGGTACCGTCGGAAAGAATCGGAAATGCTTGTGCAAAGTGCTCTCGCGCAAGCGGATTAGAACATCGGAGCTTTGCGCGGGTAAATGCGTGCGACGCGACTTAACGACGCATGTCTAACGTTAGATCGCCGAACCCTTGCAGTCGAGAAAAAGGTCCGTGAAATAAAGAACAGGGAAATCGAATCTTTGATGACTTCCTTCGGGACGAGTCACTCGGTACGTAATTCACTCTCTGCGAAGTGCTCGCTCACGAAGAACCGACCAAGGACGTGGCTTCGTTTTAGAGAGGAAATCGCGAGTCAAATTAATAGCGCGACGACGAACGGTCAATCCGGACGTGTTTCGAGCCCGTTTCGAGTTATCACTGAGGTGGCTTCACCGAGGTGAGCACGGATCTAGCGAGTTTGAGGGGGAGAAGAGCAGAAGGAGGAGGAGGAGGAGGAGAGAAAGAAAGAGAGAGAAGCTCAACCACGAGGTACGTACTAGGAGGTGGATCGGCTGCCGAAGCCAGGGACGTATGGAGCTCGAGAAAGTCGTCGGCCTAGAAGGCCTCGATATTCACACGCGAATGTTTTTTCACGGTTAGTGAAGGTGCCGAGATTTCACGGAAAGGAAGTGACGCATCGTCGTAGGCAAAGCAACGATATCAGAGCTTGTATACGCATAAATTCTCGCAACGATTAGCACGACCTCCCCGTAGTGACGACGACGCCGTCATGTAAAATCATAAAATCCTATGATTGTTGTCATGATTTTATAACACAATTATGATGACACTTCATTATAATTTCATATAACGTATTTTACGACGGAGTGCAGAGCGTTAATTGATTGAAATTCCCTTCGACCGAAATAATCGTGTAATCACAAATGATTTAATCGATTGGTGAAATTAATTATTAATCAGTGTGTATAATTAATCGCGCGAAAGTTTGATTTCATTAATCGATGAGATTATTTGTAATTTTACGTATTACGATTGATCAATTCTGACTATTGACGCGAATTGACTTTAACCAGAGAACATTTCAATTGATTAATGCTCAATAATATATTTACAATATTTCATCTCACAGTAAACAATGATGATAGCAATAGCGAACAGTAGTGACTGTGACGTTCTTGCTGGAACTCCTTTCGCTATCGTCGCGATAATGGAGTCGTGTGCGGAAACGGTCACGACGATTCTTCGAATTGCTTAGAAATTGTAAGTTCGAGGGCCATCACTATCGGGTGAGCGGTCGACCAGCCGATCGCATAAGCGCTCATGCGGGCCGAACGCCTCCGTGCAGCTTTCTAATTGTTCTTCCTGATCGGCTCTTACCGGCGGCGCGGTGGTTACGTAACAGGACGTCGTACCGGAGAGAAGTCGGATAATGTTCTTCGGGGCCGGTTACGTGGCGTTGCGCGAGACGATTACGGTGAAAAACGGACGCGCGCGTCTCGGCTCATAATCTCGGGAAAATCACGGCCTTTTCAAGTATATATCACGTATATACCTCTCAAACGTGACAATCGCGTTTGAATAACGCGATGTTGTAAAACTCAACGTCAGTTTATCCTCCAGAGAAAGAGAGAGAGAGACAGAGGGGGAGGGAGGGAGGAAGGAAAGGAGGGAAGGAGAGAGAGAGAGAGAGAGAGAGAGAGAGAGAGAGAGAGAGAGAGACGTAGTTAGGGAAGTCTTACAAAAAAAAACAACTGTTAGTATAATTATCTGTTATTTGGAAAGCAGATGAAAAACTCAATTTGTAGGAACAGAGATTCCTGCAGGAGATTTCTATTGAGTCAATCGCTTTGAGTTATCTCAACCGAGTTTTAATGCAACTGAATGTTTTCTCAGTCGCGGCAATCGAGATATTATTTCTTGTTGACGAGTTTTTCGTCCGGCCGCCATTCAGTTACTCTAACTGAAATGTTTTTCCTGTGTATAATAAGGTATACAGGATACAGATATTCTATGTAAGAAAGACAATCTTCCCTCTTTGCCTCGTTTTTAAAGAAACCATTTGAGCTCGAGAAATTCGCGGGAATATTGAATTTTCTTGTGAAACGAGCCGTTCCAACAACTGAGAAGCGAGAGAACTCGCTCGCTCAACGCCGAGAGATTTATAAGTTCAATCATCTAAGCGTGTCTCTTCAATGCCATTGACGTCGGCGTCGGCGTTGCGTAGCGTGCAAGAAACCCGACTAATGTTGAATAATATCGCAGTGATTAAATGGTATACTCTTTCGTTGCATAATACGTCTCAAGGAGCGGTGCAACAGGTTATGCTTAGCACGCGCGCGTGTAGCGTAAACATTAAAGTCCGTGCATTGCACGTGGCTCAAGAGAGAGAGAGGGAGAGAGAGAGAGAGAAGCATAGTAATCATCGCACAGAACGTCACCGCGATGTCATTAGCATCGCTTTGACAGACAACGTTGGTAACGTTAAACCTCCTCCTCGTGCGTCCAACATTTGTTATTTAATTAAACATTGAAGTGTTGAGTGTGCGAGAGGAGACATGATGTCGGCCTGACACGGTGCTCGCGACTCACCAAGGAAATTACGTAAAGCGCGTCGAGTTGCGCCATCGTGGGAAAATAAGTCAAACTGAAAATCAGCTTGTAAACAAATTAGCCGAGACTCGCGAGTGAAGCAGCGTGAATTGAACAGTGAACCGACTTGCCTTGAGTCGAACGAGTCGCGTTGCGATGCGAGTCAAAGGCGAAAATGATCAGAAATTATTGTGAAGGCAGCAGAAGGGAAATTCGCGAAATTAATTGCCACGGCCTCGCAAAATCGTCATGTCCGCTGCGACGCACGCTTGACGAAAGGTCGTGCGTATACGCAGCCGACAGAGATGGCGGTGAGATGTAGCGAAGGTGAGAAGAAACGACCCGGGTCGCCCGAGGTGCGCGACGGAACGTGACGTGAAACTGACGGCGCGGGAACGTACGTAAGGCCAAGTTATGCGAAGATACACGAACGACGCGTTTACTTTCTAACCGGCATCGTTACGTGGACCTTCAACGAAAGTATTACGACCGTCGTTGTAAGCGGTGACATTATCATCGCGGCGGCGACGACGAGACCGATTAAGTAAGAGGGGCCCGACATGCGCGCGTACGCGTCCACCTGCACCGCTGCTTTAACCCCTTCGCTATTAATTTTGTTTCTCAAAAAGGCACAATTTTTCTTCTTTCATCTCAAATACGTTAATATATAAGTTTTAACAAAAGAATTAGCAGCTTTATGTTTGACCTCAAATAAGGGATAGGACCGGGACTTTGATGTCCCACTGGGATGTTTATGAGAGAGCATATTTTGTCCCAACGCGGTAATAAGTTGAATAATAGTTGATATGTGCTCTGAGAGTGCCAAAAGAGCTGTTTATTCAATTGAATAAGGTTATTATTAATGATAAGGAAAGCCATATGTCCCGTTGATAGCGAAAGGATTAATTTAACACACTCTCTTAAAGTGAATCAGTGAATAGTCACTGATATCAGTTATGAGTATAGCACTGAGCACTTTCAGTGCTATACTTATAACTGCAATCAGTGTATATTCGCTGTTTTCAGTGATATTTGACTGATTCATTTTAAGAGAGCATACATGTGTGTGTGTGTGTGTGTGTGTGTGTGTGTGTGTGTGTGTGTGTGTGTGTGTGTGTGTGTGTGTGTG